GAAGTGAAAATTAAAACTTCAAGTTTTTAAATTTTGCTTAATTTACTTTTGGGATGAAACTTTGTTTTGTAATTTCTCCTATTTAATGGTTATCAAAATAGCTTATAAACTTTGTTTTGGTATTAGTATTGTTGAACTATGATTTCTCTTTTAGTTTTGTAATTTCTCTTTTTAATTTTGGTATTAAACTTTGATTTGTATATTGAATCTCAAACTATAAATTATAAAATAAAATAAAAAATTTATAAATGTACATCAGCCGTACCAATATCCTATTTTTTAGATATTGCCGTATTGGCATACCCATATCGCACTCGTACCAGTATCCGTATCCGTATCCGCACCCACACCCGCACCCGTGCTTCATAGCTAGTGGGATACCAAATGCCATGCCAGTTGACCAATGTGGGATTGAGAGCATAGGGCTTATTTATAACGATTGGTTCGGCCTTCTCTCATCACTCTATTTAATGTGAAATTAGTATTGAAATAAGGGTTTTTATGTGACAAAACTAAAAATATTGCTTGTGTGAAGATCAAAAATTTTTTTTTTTTTTTAAATTTTGGTAACAAGTAATTGATGTCACTTGATTAAAATTTATCTATTCCATACAATCACCAAAACATAATTTTAGAAGTCACCGTGAAGCAAAGTCCCACATCGACCAAGTACTATAGTAATATTAAAGCATGTAAGCATGAGGGCTCCATCACCTCAATAACTAGCTTTTGAGGTTGAGTTACCCAAGACCGTGTAAGTTGGTACCAGAGCCTGGGATGGGTAGGGTGTGTATCCCTGGCATGCACATCTCAAGTGCTGCCGAGTGAGCACGCTGGACGTGAGGGAGGGTGTGGAGCGAAGTCCCACATCTCCTAAGTACTTAAGTAATATTAAAGCATATAAGCAGTAGGGCACCCTCACCTCAAGAGCTAGCATTTGGGGGTTGAGTTCTACCCAAGATCGAGTAACATAGTATCGCAGCCAAAGTACTCAAAGATGGGTAGGGTGCGTGTCACTGGCCTGTACGTCGCAAGTACTGTCGAGTGAGCACGCTGGACATGAGGGAGAGTGTGAAACGAAGTCCCACATCGCCCAAGTACTAAATTAATATTAAAGCATATAAGCATGAGAGCACCCTCAACTCAAGAGCTAACTTTTGGGGTTGAGTTCTACACAAGACTGTGTAACGGATACACAAGACTCTATAACAGTCTCAATATTGATTAAAATATGCAAGATGAACATAGAGCAAATACACGTGTCATTGAGTTTTAGCGAGTTTGTAGATGATTTCAAAATTCATACATGCGTCACTCCATTTCCAATACGAATCGCTTGATACTTCCAATACCATTACACTACGACCATTAGCGTTACCATTACGTGCCTTGATACCATGATTTAGAGCCATGGCCCTAAGGCTTACAACCCTATATATAATGAAACAAAAATCCTAATAGTATTAGCAAACAACTAATTGGGGAAATTGCTTGTTAATCACACCTAAATAAAAAAATAATAATAAAATAAAATAAAATTATTGACGTAAGCTTAAATTTGGATTAGCACAAAGGAAAAGAGATGTGCCAAAACAAATAGCATTGAAATTGAAATTTTCTAGCAAAAGTCAAAATCAAAACAAATCTTTCCCAAAACGCTAAAATCACTAATTTGGAGTCCTAACAAATGGAATATACCGAAATACCAGTCTAAGATTGTGGCAAAGCAATGAGTTTTACTCCTTGGGTCATTTCAAATCGAACATGGGCCTTCCGCAGCAAATCTACCAATCTTGGACAGAACACATAATTACTATATTGCCATCCAGCAGTCAAACCACTGCATTGGGTCCGCATCGGGGCTATATCAAATCGATTTTTCACATATATCACATTGACTGAGTGTCAAAAAAGGCTTAAAAGTTCTCCTTTTAGTAGTCATTCTGGCAAGTATACTTTGTTCTTACTTTGCTACTTATTGTCATCTGAATTGTTCAGGAATATATTTTTTCAACTTCTTGCTTTCCTTGTTATTCAAATTGGTGCACCAATTCTTTCTCGCCATCAATCACAAATCATAATCTCTCACTTGTTTTCCTCAATTTCTCATAGCCCTCCGTCTAAGTTTTACTTAGGTCAAAGACAGTCAATATTTGTAAATTTATCCTAGGTTTAATATGAGAATTCCAAATTTATTTCTCGCCTCCTATTGTTTAATTTGAGTTATTTTCAAGCATCATTTCCCCAAAAAGTTGGGTGGACAATTTCGTGCTCAACTAGGTTTAATGTATTTAGTTACAAACAAAAATTGCATCACATCACCTCGATACAATGGAGAATTAAAGCCCCCTCGTGGTTTGGGCCATGTGCACATTGCCCTTATAATTTGAAAATAAGCACATAACTTCAATATTTTGTAGAACAAAAAGCACATCTAACACCTATTGAAGAAACTTGTAAATTTACATAAATACTCTCATCTTCTTCATCTCTTCTAAAATAAATATATGTATATATATACACTTACATACACTATCTTCTTCATTTCTTGTAAAATAAACCTCTATATATACATTTACATATATTATGTATATCAAACCGTCACAGTCACACCGCCATTGCCATTGCCATTTCCCTGTCCCTTTCCCACCCGCCTTCTAAAATAAACCTCTGTATATATATACATACACATATGTATAGATAACCACAACCCCAACTACTCTGTCCCCTTCCCCACCTGCCACCATAATCTCTCTACCATGCCAGCCCTCCTAATCCTCTGTAAATATCCACACGCACTTGAGCCTCATTCGATTGCTAATAGTGATTGTAAAAGGAAATGAGCCACTTGAGCCACCAAAGGGAGGTGCACCGACGAAAAAGAATACAATTGGTGCATAAATGCACATGTTATTTTAATATTAAATTATTATCTTTATTTATGTGTAGTTAATCTATCATAGTTTACTCCCATTATATTAGAAACGTTGATTGAATTAATGTAATGGTCATTATAATTATTTATGCAGGATGTGCATTTAAGAGGTGACCGGAAAGGAATCAAAGAGGCCTATGCTCTCTTGTTATTAATGGTGATAATTGTCTTGCATTGATGGACCAAGTAATGCCCAAGAGCAGAGGAACCATAATGAAACTGAAAGAATATGATTGTAATAGCTCAGTATAATTGTATTTAATTGTTAGAACTTTCCATGTGTCTCAGTTGTATTTTGGCAATATACATGGAAGAGGTGTGTGGATCTACACTATACTGTTTTTTGTAATTTAACTAGGGGTGTAGAGCAGTAGTTGAGATTGTATGTATCTGTATTGTTACATCTATATATGTTTTTGAAAACAAAAACCAACAAACATATCTCATATTTTCTATTTATTATTTTTAGAGTTACATTTAAAAACTAAAAAATATATATGAATAATACGTTTATTTTTTTCAATTCAAAAAATATATTCAAGTTGAAAACTTTTTTTCAACAGAATATTTAAACTCTTTTTCAATTGAAAATACAAATATAATATTTAAACAAATTGAAAACACAAAATCTTATAAATTACTAGGGGTGCTCGCGGTTTCGCGGTTTGGCGGCTCGGTTACGGCCAAAGAAATCTCAAATCCGCCATCCGTCCGCCAAATTGGCGGATTGGAGAAAATCAATCCGCAACCGTCCGCTCGTCATCACGCATCCGTCCAAAATGTGGCGGATCGGTTCGGTTTGATCGGTTTTGGCGGATCGGTATATCCGCTGCTCACCCCTACTATGCTCTCTTGTTATTAATGGTGATAATTGTCTTGCATTGATGACCAAGTAATGCCCAAGAGCAGAGGAACCACAATGAAACTCAAAGAATATGATTGTAATAGCTCAGTATAATTGTATTTAATTGTTAGAACTCTCCATGTGTCTCAGTTGTATTTTGGCAATATACATGGAAGAGGTGTGTGGATCTACACTATACTGTTTTTTGTAATTTAACTAGGGGTGTTCAGGAAACCGATTTACCTAAAAAACCCATCCAACTCAACCTCAACCAATGAATTTGGACGGTTTCAAGAGTCATACACGGGTGGGGTTGATTTCATTATACAGAAAAGACCAATTTTACAATCGACTGGCAATTCTCTTCGTACAAAGACCGACCAATCTGAACTGACCGAGAATAGAGTTAACCAATAAATGCTAACCTATATACGTAGATATAATGATGATATAGGATCTGCTGGTCTGCTCCCATAGTCTGTACCTATAATAACATAGGTTCAAAAAAGGGTACACTGCTCAAAAAAGAGTCAGTGCCTTTTACAATTCTCAAATTTCAAATCAGAAGAAAAGTCCACATACACCTACACATATAATCATGATGATCATCATACATACATACAAAACATTCCAACATAAGATTAATATATCGTTTTGGTTTGTTTATGTACAGAAGAATGGAGCATTCCCTCTTCCTCTCGGATTTCCGATTACCCCTCGCCCCTTCATTTTTCACAATAAGGTTTCACTATCGGCAAGAAATTTCTTCTTTCCATAGTCGGCGATTACTACTATCGATGAGCCTCACTGACGAATATCCTCTTTCCACAGTCGGTGATGGTGCTTTCCTACCTCTCTGTATTAGATTTGTATATATGTGCTCATGTGGCAATGGGTCTCCTCTTTTCAAATTCTATTGAGCCATTAACAACTAGTAGATAGTCTCAATCTTCCGTAGTAGGCAATGTTAATCTGGTTACTTTCCCTCTCAGATCTGTATATTTGTGTTTATGTGCACAAGTTACAAAGGACAAAACTCAATTGTTGAAGGAATTATCATCCGACCATATTCACCCCAAAAAAAATCATCAGACCGAAACTGACTGGTAAACCGTATGGCCCAAACGACAAGTGTAAAGTAAAATTTGGCCTAGAAAAAACAATAGCCATTATGTATGTAACACGAGATCGACATACTAAGTAAAACAAGTGCAGTAGTACCTCAGTAATGTACTTTGAGTAACTATCTTCCAATGGATATTTCTCACTTGCATAAAACAACATGTGCTCTACAACAATTGAGATCAAAGTAAGCAAATCCAAATATCAAAACACATAATTTGTTTGTAAAATAGAGTAAGACTAAATTATTTTCACCGAGGAAATGCGCGAGGCCTTCAAGACCGACGGGATCGCTAAAAGAACCAATAGCAACATTCATGGAAGCAGCACACTGAAGAAGAAGAAGAAGAAACAAATGTGAAATAAGTAAACCCTAAGGGCATGGGCATCATCAATCAAATTGAAGCAAAGCAAATCAAAGTAAAGTGGAAGAGAGAAAGCCGTAGAATGAAAAGGAATGAAGGAATTGAAAAACCTTATCAGTTTCAGGATCGCTGATGAGGAGGACTTGGAGGGAGTTTTGGAGGACGATTCGTCTATACTCTCTCTTGTCATTGCGAGGCTTCAGAATCTCCACCACCTCCACGGCCATCTTCTTCTTCACTCTTCCAAGTCCGATTAACACACAATTATGTATGTATGTCTATGTATTTAGAGAGAGAAAAGAGAGAGCGGCCGCCTTGTGCGACTTGACTTGTGTCGAATGAAGACACGAGAAGGGAGGGGGTTCGCGAATAGCAAGAAACCGAGCGCAGCCTCCACCAAAAAGTGCGGCCCGTGGAGGGGACGTTTTAGAGCAACTTTAAGGTTAGAAACAGAAGGGAGCAGCTTCCCTCAAGTTGATCTAGGATCGGAGGATATTGTTGGATTCGTGGGAGTCCGTTACGAGTTTCGTTTCAATAATTTAAATCGTTTATTGTGTAAAAATTATTGAGTACTATAAATATGTAAAAAATTACGTTGATTAAATATCGATAGTTATATGATTAAATCAGTTTTGTATAAAAAGATGGACGGTGAACAAATTAACGGTTGACAGAAAACTGAACCGATAAGATAGCTATCGATATCTGATCAACGTAATTTTTTACAGACATATAATATTCAACGAGTTCTACAAACGATTTGAATTAACGAAACGAAATCCGTAATGGACCCCTACAAGCCCAAAGGCACCCTCAATCTGATCTAAAACTAGGGGGTAACTGCTCCTGAAACAAAATGCCTTCCAAAGGTATACACAAAAGTATCTTTCTCATTTTTAAATTGACTAGTTTAGTCAAGAGGATAAGATATACTTATTTTGTGAGTTATATTATTTTTTATTTCAGTCATATCATTTTTTTTTTATTATATCACTTCAATTTTAATTTATGTTTTATATTTTTTCGTAAAAAGTTAAAAAGTATATTAATTTAACATTTTTCAAATAATCCCTAAGTTATACACAACTACTCGATAAACTTTCTGGTTTACGAACAGCCAATCAAGAGTTGCCACGTCAGTTCAATGAATCCACAAATAAAATATTTTCATACATATATGTGGGAGAATTAGGATCCCCTCATTAACTTTCCTACTTGACTTCCTACTTGCTAGGCCATTGGGTCCACTTTTAAGCCCAATTTTGATAATCCGAGCCGTTCACATTTAAAGATTTGTTGAGTAGATAATACTTATAAAAAAATCAAGTTGATCAGATATCGAAAAGCATGTGTTCGAATTATTAAACTAAAAATCATTTTTTTTTTAAATTTAGGCTGTGTTTGGTACCGCTCTGAAACGTTAGTTCCAAAAGTTGATTTGAACATATTTTCTGATTTTTTTTGCAATTGACACGTGTTGATTTTTATATATTCAATAAAATATATTTTCTGAATTTTTTAAAAAAATTTATGAGTTTTAATAGAATTTTAAGTTGTGTGTTTGGTTATGAGTTATAAGTGTTTGTATCAAATATTATATGTCAAATCAAAAATTATCCACTCAATTCAAAACTCTTTTTCAAAACTCATTCACCAAACAAAATTTCCACACTCAAATCATAATTTCAAAACTCACAAACTCAAAATGCAACTCTATTCTCAAATCATATTTATAAAACTCTACTAAATGCAACCTTAATAAACAGTTTTCCGAACACATGTTTTCTGATATCTGATCAACTTGATTTTTTAGAGGTATGATATACTCAACAAATCTTCAAATGTAAACGGTTCGGATCATCAAAACTGGGCCTTAAAATGGGCCCAATAACCCAACAAGTAGGAAATTCAAGGAGAGAATCTTGATTCATATGTAGGAGATAAGAAAAAAAAATTATGCAGGTAAGAGACCGAAAAAGAATTACGAACACATAGGGTTGCAAGGATGTCTGTGATGGAGTACAAATGAAAAACTATGTGTTGGTAATTTTTTTTTTCTTTCTCCCACCTACATGTAATTCCCCTAAATTTTATACAGTATCTTTAATCAAAGGTGATGGCAACAAGATTCTCCGCCATTGACATCTGCGAACCCAAAAATGGCCAACACAGTTTTTGGAGGCTAAAGGATTTGTGCGATTGTTTGCCATCAAACTTCTCATGTGGACATAAGTAGCTTGAGTTTCCCTATCTAGATCTAAAAAATAGATTAAAAAAATAAGCTCTCTCTTTCTGCTCTTCTCATGTAGACATAAGTAGCTTGAGTTTCCCTATATAGATCTAAAAAACAGATTAAAAAAATAAGCTCTCTCTTTCTGCTCCTCTTTTTTATCACATATAGTCTTCTTCCATAATGATAACGTCGGTCGCCAACAATGAATACATTAGCATTGCAACACGTTTTTTAGAGTTGGTTTTTGCAGAGAAAAAGTGTAACGAGATAGGGAGAGATGGAAGGGAAAGGTGAACCAAATGGAATTTGAAAAGATTTTTCTTGGTGGGATCATAAGTTGGATAATGTGGCACTTCCCAATTGGCTGTCCATGAACAAGGATGTTTACAGGACAGTCGTGCATAACTTTTTCTCTTTAGTTAATGTTCATTCCAATTATACTCTTTATCTTAACTAATCAATCAAACTAATTTAACTAATTTTTTAACGAAAAATATAATAAATACAGATAAATGAATAAATAATTTTTTATGACATGATTCTGTTGGCCATATATTTTGTATCAGCCAATCACAGCCTGACACGTGGTCTATCAAGGTTAATTCAGGGAATTAGTGAGGATTTCCAATCATCGAAGGACACGTGGCAAATTATATCAACAATAATGGATCCACGAATTACTGGAACAATCAAGATGAGCAGGGCGACGTGGCCAAACGGTTACTGGAACTTCAAATTCAAATTCAGCAGGGAAGTCCAACTGCAAGAGTAACTTAGTGGAGGCAAACTACTTAGAGCCATGTTCGAGGATCGTGGAGATTACTTCGACGGTTACTAGCCACTTCGATGGTTACCAGCAGAGCATATAAATAGAAGAGGAAGCTGACAGTAAGAGCACCAGAACCAGATCTAGAAACTAATTTATTTACTTTACATTTTTTCTTTCCAGTTCTTTACTTTCTTGCATTGCATTTCAATTTCTTAGGAGTAGCTCTAAGTTAGGCTGTTCGTTGTTGTAATCCCCTTCGAGGTTGTGGAAATCTGAAAGTACTACTGTAGACACTAGTTTACTTAATTAAATGCAATTTCTGACACTGTTTTCTCCCTCATTCTTTTACTTTTGTTATTGGTTCTTCTATATTTCTCCTATATAAACCACCAGTAAAAGTCTTCTTCATTGAAATTGAAAGAACTTCGAAACAATTATTTGATTAATTAGTTGGTATATATGATTTTTGTAAGGACTTATTGATCCTTGCTGGCACGCTCCAATTATAATTTTAACCTTCAAAAGCCAAAAAAACAACATATATTTTTTGGCACACCCTGTGGGACTACCATCGCAATAGCTAGACGCAGACGACAAAGAGAAAATGAACGTCTTGAATAAGGAATAGAAGGAGATCTAGAATTACATAATACAGAGGATAATGTTGAGTCACATCACGTGGATGTGCCTGCTTCAAGTGGTCTACATAATTGGTTGAAGAGACCAGCACTTCAGGATATGCAACACAAGGCCAAAATGTTGGACAAAGCCTAGAAACTAGACCTACAGTTGTTCCATCTTCCTAACCAACGAATCCTTGGGGAGGATTGGTTGATGTTATAGGGCAACAATTAATGCATACAATGGAAACATGGACAACATCCTTTTTGGATCAAATGAATACCTATCAACCACCTGTCATTAGACAAATTGAAGAAAATATAAACTTACTTCAGCAAAAATTGGCTCAAAATAAACAGCCAATGCAATGTAATGAACAAAATAATAGACAAACTAGTGGTTAAGTTAATAATCAAATTAATGATAGACCATCACCTATACCTCAATCATAGTACGAAGCTCCTCTTAGACTATCAATGAGTCAGAGCATACCTTTATCTACCAACAAAACCATACACATTTGTGGAGCAGGGTTAACACAAGGAAATGACATGCAGGAGTTTTCAAACCCTATGTTTGAACCCATGTCTGGTACTCGAGTATTTACTAATCTTGTGTTCGAATTGACACCCGAAGGGTTGGAAAGAGTTCTTGCAGTTGGAAGAGAAACGACACCAGTCCCTTCTCTAGTGATTCCCTTCAAAACACCCTTTGAAGGACAAATGTCTACCCCAAGGGGTCAACCATACCCTCAAAATCAACCAGCACAGCAAGAACAGTCCATTCTCTAGGGACAACCAGTCTTAGGAGGTCAACCAGTCCCACATGTGCCTTTACATAGACCAAAAGGGCTTCAAGCACAAAGGGTTCCTTCAAATCCTGTGTTTGCTCCTCCAATAGTGGCCCAACCACCAGAAAATGTTGTACTTACGGACCAAATTACTGACATTGTTAAAGAAATTTGTAGATCTATGGCCTAGGGGGTCCAAACCCATGTTTACTAAAAACCTTACCCATAATGAGTGGATAGGCTGCATGAATACCCAAGAGGCATAAGATATCATATTTTACCCTTTTTTATGGTGATGGGAGCTAATCAACTGTTGAACATATTGCAAGATTCACAGGGTAATGTGAAGAATTTACCAACAAAAGTTCAAATAATGGCTAAAAATTGCCAAATTGAAAACCAATTGAAATTTTACTATTATAGTTAAATGAAATTTCAATAACTTTGTAGATTTTAGCCAGTGAAATTTCACTATATTTGTTGTTATCAGCCATAGTAAAATTTCACTGTATTTAAATAGTGAAATTTCTAATTAAAAGGTAAAACTATAAAACTAGTAGCTTGAAACACTCTTCAACATTATCATGACCACAGTAAAAGTTTCGAAAATAAAAATACCTTAGTTTGAGGAAATTTTAATTAAATTAATGAAATTTAGCATCTATTAACATAGAGAAATTTTTGTATGTGAACATAGTGAAATTTCTCTACGTTTAAACAGTGACATGCCTAATCAACATAGTTATCTAAAATGAAAATTTGAATTTAAGGAAAATTTCAATTCAATTAATGAAATTTGATCTTTGTTGACTTAAAAAAAATTCATTGAGCACTGAGCATTTACTCAAATTCGCATTGTTACAAATTCTAATCCAAAAACAAGTTGTCAACATACATATCTAGAAATTACTTTTAACCTCAATACCTATCATCCTCATGTATATAAAAATCTATCCACAAAAATATCAAATCTGCGGTTGGTGATGTTGAAAAAAATATTAGATTTGTTGACATACTGTTAGTAAAAATTATGCTTACTCCCAATCGATAGGAATTAAACAATAATTTCGACTAAACAATCAAACAAGAATAACCAAGCAATTGTGGAATTGGTTCAAAATGCCTCAAAAGAATGAGGACTTCTTTGGAACAACTGAAAATAACAAAGTAAACAAAGCAAACACAAAGTAATTTCAGAATGAAACTACTGAAGTTCACCAAATTATATAACGATTCTCTTTAGACCCGACTCATTTGTTGCTTTTGGATCTGAGAACCCATTTACTTAGCTATTGCTCGTCTCATTTCTATCTTGTTAATCTTGAGTTTGGCTATTAGGAATTTCGGCGGTATTTGAAACATGTTGGGAAGTTAGTTTTTCAAAGAGTTATTGTCCAGATTTTGGCTTGTTCGCTCGAGCGACCATTCTTGCATCGAGCGATTTTTTACAGCCTATAAAACTACTGAGAGTTTGATATCTTCGCTCGAGCAGTCTTTTTTGCGCTTGAGTGATCTTTTGCAAGTTTGAACTATTAAGAAAAGGTCATTATATGCTCTAGCGGTGGTTCAGGTCGCTCGAGCGTTGTTACCTTTTTGTATCTTTCACTCGAGCGACCATTATTGCGCTCGTGCGATCTGTGCGTATATCAGTTCGAGAGGAAGCCATTTTCAGTCATTTTTTCACCTCTCTCTCTCTCTCTAAACATTTTAAAACCCTAAATCTTCACACTCTCTCTCTAGTTCTTGAACTCTAGCTCCAAATACTCTCAATCCGTGGGTTTCCTCACTCTAGCCCTTTGGAGAAAAACGTTGAGCACGTCGAGGGCTTCATTTTAATTTGAGCATTTTGTGTTTTTAACTCCGTCAAGTTTTACCCATCATTTCTTCGTGTCTTCTACTTTGAGGTAGGGACTTCTTTGACTCTTTTATATGATTTTTAGCTTAGTTATTTGTCATTTGAAAGCGGTATTGATTTGGAAAATTTTGAGAAAAACCTAGGGTTTGGATTTGAAATTAAAAGAGGAGTTTTCCAAATAGATTCTTGAAAATGGTTGTGAGGATGCATTTATGAGTGAAATATATTAAAATGGTGGATATTTCTTCTTGAGATTGATTTTGTAAAACAAATGAAGTTTTGCCCTAGATTTTTGGATATTTGGAATTGTGAAGGAAAATGGGTGATGATGTTGAGTATTGCGAAATTGGAACAATGTTTATGTTGACGATGATGGTGGAGTTGGATATGTAGTATCATTCTCATTGTAATTGATAAAAATTCTATATCTTTTGATTGGAAATTATCTATTGAATAGAAATATCTATTTTGGGCTATCGGTGGAAGATAGTCTTGATTGTTGTCGACATTGCATGAGGATTAAGTTGAATTAAACCTACTTTCTCTTACATTGTGCATTGAGCGTCATTTCATATTGAACATTGTAAATGTATTGGTTTTTTAGATAAAGGGGTGAATACCGTAGTGAATCTAGTTAGGGGGTGTGGTTGTGGTTTTTATTATGTTGGCCTGTGTGTCCTTGGTGAAATTTCAAAAACTAGCATAATTAGGTGTCGATCTTTCCGGTTAGTATCGGTAAAATGGCTTTGGTCGTGCTTGTATAGCCTATTAGCAAACACGTACCTAGAGATTCCCAGTGTGTTGTATCCACTGTCCTGTTTTCTGTTTATAACAAGATTATTTTCATGAGTTGATTTATAATCTAGCATTACATTGCTGAGATAGAAAAAGAGAAACGTTTGACAAAAGGCATGCGTATGCATTCACCTCATAATTTTGCTAAGATTCATATACTGTTAGAACATCTTTACTGGGCTGTGACTCACCCTATGTGGAAAACAACTTTCAGGTACTGATAACATGCCTCCACCAACGACGTAGCCTGGGAGAACTTGGAGCTTAAGGCTTCATTTTTGGTTTCTTGATGTAATTATTTTTGTTTAAGCCTAAGGCTTTACTTGTATTGAGTTTAAACTCATTTTGTTATAACCAAGTATCGTCTTGGAAAGTTGTAGCCATTAGGGCATTTCATTACTTGGTTTTACTTACCTTTTTACTCTTGTATTCATTCCATATGCCATAGATTCAGGATCCAGGATTTGTGAATATCTATTGCATATGTCACTTTTTGTAATGATCAAAGATATAATGAAAGAGAATATAAAATGTTGTTGATCAATTGCATGTGTTGATTATGATATGGGTTGTGTTATTTATTCGGGGCATTACAAGTTACAAATTGTAAATTACAAAAGAAACTACTTCTAAGTTACAATAAACTACTTCTAAGTCTAAAAGCTATGTGTTGTTAAGTTGTTGATGATGTCCTATTCTGCTTGTTTTTATTTGGCCCATTTATAGGCTCACCATCGTAAACTCCACAACTGCTAGGCAGTTCTTCTTTTGAATTGCTGACTGTTACACAGTTTCTTTCACAACCACACTTTTAACACATCATGGTGAGTTCACAAGTTGCCACCATTTTATGCCCATGTTGCCACTTCTTTTCAGTTTATGTCATATGTTTTGGAATCATTGCATCCTGCAAAACGTTATAAGAAACAATAATAATAATAAATATAAATATAAATATAAATATACATGGCCATAATTTTATGATAAAAATAATTTATGGTCTAAATTGACGGATCAAAATCGACTGGCCACAATTAATGAGATTAGATTTGGCCGTGATTGACAGGCCACAATCAATAAAATTAAAATTGGCCACAATTGACAAACCACATTGATAGAAAACAATTTATGGTGCAAACACATACACATATATGTGCATAATATATATAGAGAGAGAGAATAAAAGAGATGCAGTTGCAGTTGTACTAGAATTTCAGATTGTTGGTCTTGAATATAATGTTATCAACAAAAGCTTCAGATTTGGATAGTGGTTACAAATAGCGACAACATAGTTCAAATCTATACGAATGACGATAACTCTTTTAAGTACTAAAAACTGTAGTGGCGATGGAGATGGATGCAATTGAGGCGCTTGTGGACAAAGATTTGCGAACGTTGACCACACAGAGAGAGAGAGAGAGAGAGAGAGAGAGAGAGAGAGAGAGGAGGAGAAAATTAGGATTCTAAAGACTAAAGTGAAAATTAGGTTTCTAGAGACTAATCTCAGTTGTCACGAGGACAATCACTAAAAAGTCATCCCGAAAAGTAAAAAAATAGCTTTTAGGGAATTTTTTTTGAAAATGTTGCTAATAAATGCATTTTAGGGTTGGTCCCAAAAAGGTTTATTTTTTGAGACAAAATTTTTGTGACAAAAGGTTACTAATTTAACATTAAATGTCTAATTTTGTCACTAAAAATAAAATAATAACACTTTTGGCGACAAATATTTTGTCTCTAAATTTTTGTATCCAACACCTTAATTTCTTGCAGAGACATCAAGAGGAAATTATATTAATTTTTTTTTTCTCAAAGGGACTTACTTCCTTTGCCATTGTTCTCCATTCAAAGGGGACCTTATGGAGATGTGTGAGCTAGAGATGGTAATTGGCGATGTGTTATGTATGTATATTGTGGGGAAGTGGTTTGAAAATACTCTTTTGATCCACTGGAATGCTCAAGATCCTCAGCTGAAGACCTGGACGACCTGAAAAGAAACAAACACTCCGGTCGGGGGTGCCGGAATTAGCACTCCGACGGACACGTCAGTCTCTACTCTCTGGATTACTTGTATTTTAAGTTAAGCGTACTAATTCTCACATACCTCTTTCGGCTGATGTTCTTCTATTTATATCTTTTCTTTCTTGGGTCTCGGGTCTGGGCCCACTTTCAATTCGCCGTATAACTATTTACTCGGCTTCTTTTGTTGCAAACCGCATTTCACTCGGCCCCTAACTCAACCGGCTATTTGGCCGAATATGGTAGGATTTAAATGTGCAAAACGGGGCCGAATGCGATGTATATATTTCGACTCTCCAGGTCCAATTATTCGGCCTCTTTACGACCCCCAATATTCAGCCCCCACATATATATATATATAGAGGCATGAATAATTTTAGTTTGATAAATTGTTTTGTGCTATGGTCTATAATCAAATACCCGTATACTTGGATGCCTGGTTTTTTATTTTATTTTATTTATTTATGTAATAAATATTTAACATTTAATGTTATTTGTTTAATTAACTACCAGAGCAGTTACTACCAAGCTGTCACATAGTCTTTCAATTAGAGCAGGAGACCCACAATTCAGAATTTTAACCGTTTCTCTAGCCTTTATATTAATCCCCCAACTCTCTCTCTCTCTCTCTCTCTCTCTCTCTATCTATCTATCTATCCTTGTTTGAAGCGAAAAAAGAAAAAAACAAACTTAGTTATATTTCGAAGATTTTATTGTTGGTGTATAGGCTTGTCGAGGACTTTGTTCTTTGAATGTGCTATTCTACTTGAAGAACAAGATCCTAGACAATTTTATACCCAAACAATGATATGATCAGAGATGCCAATATGTACTTCCACAATTTTGAGCTACTCTTCTGTTGGTAATCATGTTCTCTGTCTCTCGCTGTCTCTGTCATTTGTTTTCTTCTTCTTCTTCTTGGAATAACTGCTTAATAATTATTTGGTTTTCTTTAGTGTTCATATAGTTATAATAAGCAATCCTCTGGTTATGTATCAACTGTTAATAATTGTAGATCTTATGAATGTGTCTGTGTTTGTCTGATAGATGTGTCTGTGTAAAAGAGATCTAAATCTTGGGTAAAATTCAAATGCCGTGTTATGTTTCTCGTTTATCTCTTTTTTAAATGTCAAGAATTCATTTTTTTATTCTTCTTCTAAATACAGGAACATGAGTTGATTTTGGGCTTCAAAAACAAAACTTGCTAATGAATTTCCTCATCTAATCATTTCAGTCTTTATCTGTAAAACAAGTTCTTGTGATGCTTATAGTGGTTAATTTTGAAAACTTTCAAGCACTTTTGTGGGTCAAAAACACAGATTTTAGTTTTCTTTAGTGTTCATAGAGTTAATATGCAATCCTCTGGATGTGTAAGAATTATAATTCTTATGAATGTGTCTGTGTAAGAGAGATTTAAATCTTGGATTAAATTCAAATGCTGTTATGCTTCTTGTCTGTTTTTATTTTTTTTATTTTTAAGTGTCAAAAATTCAATTTAGCAAATTCACTTCACTTTGATTGCTCAAGTATTGTCCTTGTACTAGTGTTTTAATCTATTTGTAACTTTGCTCATTACCTAGACAAAGGAGATACTATATATCACCAATTATGCATACTTTATTTAAGTGCTAATACAATACAGCGGTATGTGAGACCATTCAATCACTAGTTTGATTATTATTGTTTTATATGGTATCAGAGTTTACAATGGCTACTGCCTCCTTTGTTTCACGCAATCTGTTTTTTTCAGTTCTACCTCCACGAACCTACTGTTTCTTTTCCTCTCTCAAGTTCTGTTTTTTTTTCTTTGTTTTTTCACTATAAATTTTAAAACAGCTATAGCAGATTATTTAGTTGCCTATTAGACAATTATTCCAAGTCACTCATAGGGCCTTCTCTGTCATAGAACCTTTGAAGTGGTCTGAAAGTTATCACTTTTTGTAACTTACCCTGCTCAAGGTTTATAAAAAAGACCCAAAAGTGTGTCTTTACATTGTAGATGCACTTAAAATGTTTCAAAAATCTTGAAGGCTAGTTTGTGGATAGGACCTCCACTTATTAACATGTGCAATTCATCTTTTATTAACATATGGATATAAATATATACAAGTCTCTAGATCTAGTTGCTTTTGTATGTATAGCCTGTCAATCTCTTTGTGCAGCATTGGCGAGATAACTGATTTGAGATGTCTCTTTGGTTATCTGCTTTGCTCTTAGCCAATTCTTGTCGACGTTGAGTTGAGTCAAAACAATCTGGAAATCATTTCCTCAGGTTAGCTTTTTGTCAGCTATTTTCCTTTCTTCTTCTTCTTCTTTTTTTTTTTTCCTTGTTGGTTTCAAGCTATCAATCTGCTTTGTGCTCTTTGTTTTGTATGTGGTTATTTTTTTTTCCAGAAACAAATAGTTTTCTTATCTCGAATGTTTCTGATATTGGTAACTGGATTGGATTCTCGTTCATGCTTTTGCCCTCGCCTTTAACCATTGGGAGCAGGTTTTCCCAATGAGTTTGATTAACATGTGTACAGATCTAATAGTTATTGACGTTATGTATGAAATATGATTTCTTTTTGGTCATTTTTTAGTTATTTTTTCCATCCACATCCTCTGTACTTTGAATTAATATTACTTGTTCTATGCTTATACAGAAAGCTTTATGCAGTCATATGTGATCCAAGTTGACCTCCTTATTTTTGCTGCCAGGGATATGCATATGTTCATGCAGTAATGGTATGAGAAGTTTCCAGATCTCAAATTCAGAGATTTGTTTCTTACATGAGAAAGCTGTGCAGGTAATAAAATAGAGAATACAGTCCCTAGTCTGGTGGTAGACTTCTTCAATGAAAAGTGAGCAAGACCAAGGAATTAGTGACTATTTAGGCTTCTTTTGATGTTTGGGATATGTCGAATTAGTGACTAATTTGTTCGATTTGTGGTCTTTGGACCCTCTCTTTTTAAGGAATCAACTTCTTTTTCTTTTTCTTTTTTCCTGATGAATTTTTCAGTTCTCTTGATTGTGAATCAATTTATGTCTTCATGTTGAATTTTTTGATTAATTATTATTTTCTCTATGTGCCTGCAAAATTTATTTATACTATATCTTTGGTGTGTTCATCTTTGATAATAGGTTGGTTGGTGCTGTGACAGTGCATTGAGGAAGTGGCTTTTTGAATTTATAGTTCTATTATGTTTGGTAAGTATGATTTCTTTTATGTTTGCAGTTTGCAGTTTTTTTTAATATGCTGGTGGATTTGGTTGCAGGGACTAATCGGCGTCGGGGTCATGTGACACTTAGGGCATATTTGATTGGAATGATTAAAGTATGGGATTAGGATTATTAATCCGTGGGCCCAACCATCCTATGTTTGTTTTGACATTTGGTTTAGGACTATTAATCCAATGGTTGGGATTGGACTAATAGTCCAATAAAATTATTAATCCGATATTTGGTTAAACAATTGAAGTACGGACTAATTATTTTAAACTTGACCATTAGTTAAGATAGGATACATAATCCAACGGATTTGTAGTCCTAGGACTATTAGTCATGGGAATGCTAATCCAGTCCGCTCAAACAAACATGGCCTTAGAGAAATGGTTGCAGTGACTTTGACCAAGATCAATGGGGCTTTTGAAGTTTCTGGTATGGTTCAAATGCGGGAACAAATAGGTTAAAATAATTTGAATAAGGGCACTCAGACCAGAGGCAAGTTTGATATGAGACTAAGTTTTGTCAGCCGGAACACTATATCCAGTGGCTGTTGCTTCAGCTCTATACTCACACTTCATTTACAGCTGCTGAGACTCTATTGGCTTCTGCTGCAAATGCTGCAGCACATCAGACGGCTGTTTCACTTTGTCATACTCACTATCAGATCATTTCCGATTTGACTTCTATTTCCTCTGTCGAGCATCATTATCTTCTGTATCAAATGTGTTGTTCATGGTTCAGTGAAAGAAGTTTCTTTTTTGTTTTTTTTTAGGGCATGAGTCTGGACCTGGAAATATGCTGGAATTCAGCTTTTAGAATTAATACTGTTTGCTTAACTTGTTGGACCTTAGGTGATGATGATTCAATGGAAAAAAGAGGTATTAAGTAACAAGGTTTTCATGCATGCAAGTAAGATTACACAAACACATTTATGAAGGGAGAGAGAAGGTTTGCAGAGAGGGAGGCCGGAAGCGAGGGATTTACAGAGATTAAGGCAACGATGTCTCCCTGCCAAAATCTATGCTTGCTGCTTTTGGTTTCTCTTCTCCAGGCCTTCCTCGATCGGTTTCAGGTATGGCTTCTCTCTCTCTCTTGTTTTCTTCTTCTTCCCCAACGGTGTCTCCTTATCAATGGAGCCGTTGGTGGTTTCTTTGCTGGGGCTCGTGTTCTTGGTTACAAAGGTGAGGATTTCTATTTGATGGATTTGGATTGTTATATTATTCTTTTCCTCTTATGAATTTTATTTACTGCTGTAACATGTACGACGGTGGTTGTGAGTTCTCAGCATTCAATCTCTCTCTCTCTCTCTTCTTTTTTCTTTTTAATAAAATAAAATCAAACTTTAGATGTCTTTCTCTGTATGCTGTATCCAAGACTTAAAATTGTTAGAGTATTGAATTATTTATTTGTCATTTACCAAGTAGGGCATCGTACTATTACCTGACTATTGGTTAGTTTCATAGTGGTAATGTTCAAAATCTTAATAATATTAAATAGTGATATTTGAAGTATTTGCAAAGCCGAATATTGAACTTCATTACTATCCAAGCGATTTTAGCTTCATTTTGTTGCTTCAGTGTGGACCAATTCTGTTTTTGTTTATGATTTTGAATATGGCCGTCATTCTCGTGGAAGCATGCTTTTCAGTTAATTGATTCTCATGGAAGCTGCAACTGATGTCATTAGAAGCTCATTCAAATCCAACTGCTGCAGACAGACAGACAGACCTTGAACATATATAGAGGCAATTGGTCTGCCCACGGAGGTCAAAATTCATCTATTGAAGTCATAGATTAATAAGTTTAAAATTTTTGGACAGAGTTAGAAAATTCTTAATGTTGCATTTGACTTTTTGTCTAACTTGATTTCTTCCTTCTTGTCTCTTTTTTCCTTTCTTTTCTTCTTTAAGCGGTCTATTTGCTGGTTAGGTTTTCATGTCTGCTTGAAAATAATTTAGCTGGATGTCCACAAGTTGGGGAATCACCTAGTCAATCCTAGACTGTAATTACAAAACTAAATGGCTTCTCATTAAACATCTTGATTTAAATTACTAGCTTGTGCTTGCAACCTTATTGGACATATTACCTTGTAGGCAAACTTTGGAGTGAGTTTGGCTAAAAATCTCTTCTTACAAGTGAAAGTGCTATTATAGTTGTTGTTGCAAGTTGCAACAGTCAAGGTTATGGAGGATACGACAATGAATGATGGTTGGCTATAACATAGTTCCACAAAATTGGATGCTAAACCTGAAATTATTCCAATTGAAGCTGGTACCGTCTTGTTTGATAGGGCACAGTTTGCAAGAAACAGGACTGGTGGTCATTGCAGTAGAATCCCAAGAAGCTGAAATTGGCTTGGTGGAGATTAAAGAAACTGATGATTTGGAGAAGGTCCATGAAGAACTCAAACTTCTCCAGGAACAAATCTACAATAGTATAGCAATGAGATCAAGGCGTCAAACAGAACGAAAAGCCAAAACAACAAAAGCAGCAGAGAAGGCTGCAGTGAATGTTGTATCTGTTAGAACATTTGCTAGCTTATTTCTTCTAAGGGTTTTGGTTCAAAGCAAAAATTTTATCAAATCTTTTTTTTTTGGTGATATAGTTAAAACTTTGACATGATTTCATGAATTATCCAATATTTTCATGGTTTTATTCGCTTGTTTGTTTTGTATGGTTTGTGGTTAATATAAACAAGGTATGAAATGTTCCAATTTATGTGCTTGTGTATTTTATAATAGAATACAAAACCTACAGTTTATAGTGTTAACACAGTGCAATTGAAAATTGAAAATTGAATCCTTAACTTACAGATTTTATGCAATTGAAAATTGAGCCTTTTTTTTAATCACAATAAATAAAATTTTAAAAAAAAGAACTCCCCCCCTCTCACACTTCATTTACAGCTGCTGAGACTCTATTGGCTTCTGCTGCAAATGCTGCAGCACATCAGACGGCTGTTTCACTTTGTCATACTCACTATCAAAAAAAAAAAGACAGAAAGGATGGCGTCTTTTAAAAAATGCCACCAAATGAGTTTGTGCATAATCTCCAAACTAAGGAGGTTCCCATGAAAAGACAACAAAGTTATAACAACAATGCCTTCGCTATAGATCAAGCAGTGCATGATGATGAAGAAGACAAATCTGGACATAGTGTTTCTTTCACAAACTAAGCCTGTCGGTTGTGGTAATTCAGAACAAAGGGTTTTCTACAGTAGATAAGACGATTGATCAGCTACACAAAATGCCTGAATCTTCTCATCTGTCTAAAGATTGCATTAATGTGGAAGATAGATCTTCAACCCCAGTATCCCGAGGATGTCCCAATGCGGAGCAGCATGATCAAGTTTCAAGTAAGACTGTTGAGCAAATGCAGCACCTACTTCCAGCAAAAACTATAATGTTTTGCGTGGGAAACTATAAAAGAGAATTTAGGCTCCTAAGCCAAGCTACAAGAATTTCATAGAAACAGAAGTCATCAATACTTGCCAACCCCCTACTTGGAAGAAGTGAAAAAGAGAACGTCGAATAGAACAGTCACAATGATCCAACTCTGTTCCAAGCTCCCCCGACGATGATCTCTTTCGCATCAATAGATTACCATTGCTATCTCTGGATAACAATTTTTACATGCTCGCTCAAGGCTAATTCAGTGACGCTTATCAAATTTCTTTTCTGCATGACTGAAGTTTTTATTTTTAGCACCAAAAAAAAAAAACATCGCCAGTGAAAAAAAAATAAAAATCCAAAGCGTCCAGTGGTAGTTTGTGTTAGTGTTGAGTTAGCCTTATCTCTAACATTAGGTTTTTTTGTAGTCTTTTATTAATGTGGACCTTGTGTTCTTTGCTATGAACATTCTTATTGATGAGTTGATAGCTATTCTTTTCATTTTCATTTTTTTTTTGAATTTTTGAATTGTCAAATTTTAATAATTTTTTATCCTGATAATTCGTTTAATTTCTTCCAATTCGTGTATTTTCTTCCTAGTTTCATATGCTTTTTCTTCCAACATGCACACTCACTGCTTTTTAAGTTCAGTTTCTTTAAAAAACGAGAGCCAACTAACTCCCTAATCAACTTTAATTAAAGTTGCTCCAATCGTCAAAAACCAACTTAACTTTTTAAGAAAATAATGAAAAAAACCCTATTGAACAATGAATTTTGCCTATTTTCTTGTTTAAAGTTGGGGGCTGTTTGGTGTGGATTATTGTAAAAACTAATAATCAGAAAGTTATAAGCAGAAGCACCCATTCGTCAGCTTCTAAATAATCAGTTTTTCTCAGCTTATTTAAGCTATTTCTGTCTAAAAAACTCTAAGCAGAAGCTGCACCAAACAGTCTGGTACAGATTTTCAAATTAAAATAAGTTATAATCACCCCTTATAATCCACACCAAACACCCCCGTTATCTCGATATTATTATCTAATAATTTTTACAATTTTTATTACAATTTTTACATGCTTGCTTAAGCATAATTCAGTGACGCTTATTATAGATAACCATTAGTTTCATTTGTTTGCTATGTATTTTGAAACTTTATTTTAAATTTCTTCTCTCTATGACCGAAGTTTTCTTTATTTTTGCTCAAAAAAACAAAACAAACTACTAATAGGTTTTGATAGTTAGATTTAATTTTCATCAAGTCTTATTAAAAATAAATTATGGTAAAATTGTCACTAAAAATAATTTTTTGGGACGATTTTTTATATATATTGCTAAAAATTGACAATTAGCGACTTTGTTTTTGTCACAATTTTTATGAAGTGTTGCTAAAACTTATAATTAATGACTTTTTCTGTGACAAATTTTTAAAACTGTTGCAAAAAGTTGACTTTTTTTGTGACGATTTTTTTAAGCTGTCACTAAAATTTATAATTAATGACATTTTCTGTGACAATTTTTAAACTGTCGCTGAAAATTAACTGTATGGGGAGCAAATATTCCGGCAAGCCCGTACTCCTTTCTTCCGAGCTCCGTTTCTGTTCGATCACCTGCGAGCACAACGGCGGTGAGCTACCCGGCGGTGTGTGGCCGGAAAACCCCTCCGACGATCAAGTTAGAATACACACATAGGGGATAGATAGAGAGAAGGGAGAGTCTTCAGTGTTTAGTGTATGTCTCACCAAAAATTCATCTGTCCGCATATGGGGGGCGCAGACATGCTTATATACCTTCTGCGCCCCAAATCTACTCCCAGTGATCTCTCAACACGTGGCGCTGCTATCCCATCTGTCAGCATAAACCTTGCTGAGTACCACCTAACCCAATTGCCTGCCCATGCTCCTGGGAGCTCGGCAGCCGGGCAGTATCATCTCGGCCATCATCTGCCATGCTGCGCTTCATGCCCAAGTACTCCAACAGCTAAGCTCAGATGAGGACCGGACTCGGTGGCATCTCGGCAGAGCCGAGCTCGGGACAACTCACAGTAGTCTGCGGTCGCCCGACCTGCCGAGCAAACAGGTACCTCGGTCCAACCTTGCATTTCCTGGCGCTGGACTTTTCACCTGACCGGCTTCGTGACCACGGATCCTTGCAGCTCGGTCAATCCACGCGCTGCCTTAACCGAGCAGCTTCCTTCAAGGCCGGGCCACACAACTTGGCCCAACACCTGTTCGGCCCAAATCTGTCCGGCACAACTCTGTCCGACCCAAATCTGTCTGGCCCAATTCCATATCATTAATCTCCCTCTCATTAACAATTAGTGACATTTTTTAATAGTGTTTGAGAAAAATACCATATCATTCTCACAGAACCTATTGGACAATAAATCCACTTATGAAGACCTACATGTAAATTCTCTCTCTCTCAAAAAAAAAAAAAAAAAACTAGTGCCAGTGAAAAACAAAAAATCAAAAGTGTCCAATGGTAATTTGTATTAGTGTTGAGTTAGCCTTGTCTCTGACATTAGGTTTTTCTGGGGTCTTTTGTTCATGTGGACCTTGTGTACTTTCCCATGAATCTTAAACATTCTTATTGATGAGTCGATAGCTAATCTTTTCATTTTTTTTTGAACTTTTTATCTGTCAAATTTTAATAATTTTATCCTGATAATTCTTATAATTTTTTTGAACTTTTTATCTGTCAAATTTTAATAATTTTATCCTGATAATTCTTATAATTTCTTCCAAGTTTAATATGCTTTTTCTTCCAACATGCACGCTTAATTTTAAGTTTGGTTTCTTTGAAAAACGATGACCAACTAACTCCCCACTTAACTCTAATTAAAGTTGATCCAATTGCCGAAAATCAACCTAACTTTTTTAGAAAATAATGAAAAAAACCCTATTGAACAACGAATTTTGCCTATTTTCTTGTTTAAGGTTATCTCAATTTTTTTTGTTTAATAACGGTGATTCACAAGTCTTTCCAATTTTTGATTTAAGATTTTTGTGATGATGAGTAAAGGCTATTGTTGTGTCAAACCAAATGGGTGCCTAATATGTTTTCCATCTAGTACCTAAGTTCTCAAATTGAGTTTTTCGATGACGACAAATTACTTTCTTGATTAGCGGAGTCATATTATGATTCTTGAACCTTAAAATCAAGTGATGGTCCCGCTTTTTATAACCTTTAATTTTTGATCATTTGGCGTATGTGCAAATCAAAATTAAAGATCAATGCAAGTCATATGGTGGATTTAGTAGGATCTCGAAATAAATGCTATTGAACTTATTTTTTCTGTCTTATATCTTATAATTCTCCCTAAGTATAAATCATTATCTACAATATACCATATTATCTACAATTTTTATTAATATTATCATTCTTCAATTTACAAAATTAACCCGCCCCCTGACACACCCTCGCCTTGCCTTTGCCACCCCTTGAATTGTCCTGCCCTCGATATGATACAGGACGGAGGTAGATTACTACAAAACTGTCCCAAACTAGACTTGTGACCATCCCTAATGTAATGCCCCAACTTTTATTACACGAATCGATTACCAAATCATTTATTTCTTTCCCGTACAATACTCAATAATTTAAAAAGAAGTGGCAATGGCGTTAGAAGAAGTAGAGTAAGATGCACAAGTAGGCTCTACCTGCAAATACAATACAGCAGTCACTAGTTTGATTATTATTGTTTTATATGGTATCAGTGTTTACAATGGCTACTGCCTCCTTTGTTTCACGCACTCCGTTTTTATCAGTTCTACCTCCACGAACCTACTGTTTCTATTCCTCTCTCGAGTTCTGTTTTTTTTTCTTTTTTTTCTCCACCCCAAAATTTAAAACAGCTATAGCAGATTATTTAGTTGCTTTTTAGACAATTATTCCATGTCACTCCTAGGGCCTTCTCTGTCATAGAACCTTTCAAGTGGTCTGAAAGTTATCGCTTTTTGTAGCTTACCCTGCTCAAGGTTTATAAAAAAGACCCAAAGTGTGTCTTTGCATTGTGGATGCACTTAAAATGTCTCAAAAATCTTGAAGGCTAGTTTGTGGATAGGACCTCCACTTATTAACATGTGCAATTCATCTTTTATTAACATATGGATATATATATAAAAGTCTCTAGATCTAGTTGCTTTTGTATGTGTAGCCTGTCAATCTCTTTGCGCAGCATTGGCAAGATAACTGATCTGAGATGTCTCTTTGGTTATTTGCTTTGTTCTTAGCCAATTCTTGTCGATGTTGAGTTGAGTCAAAGCAATCCAGAAATCATTTCCTCAGGTTAGCTTTTTCTTAGCTATTTCCTTTTTCTTTTTCTTTTTTTCCTTGTTGATTTCAAGCTATCAGGCTGCTTTGTGCTCTTTGTTTTGTATGTACTTATTTTTTGTTTCCAGAAAAAAATAGTTTTCTCATCTCTAATGTTTCTGATATTGGTAACTGGATTCGATTCTTGTTCATGCTTTTTTGCCTTCTCCATTAACAATTGGGAGAAGTTTTTCCCAATGAGTTTGATTAATATGCTTACAGATCTAATATTTATTATAGATCTAATATTTATTGACATTATGTATGAAATATGATTTCCTTTTGGTCATTTTTTAGTTATTTTTTCCATCTACATAGAAGTTTCCAGATCTCAAATTCTGAGATTTGTTTCTTACACGAGAAAGCTGTGCAGGTAACAAAATAGAGAATACAGTCCCTAGTCTGGTGGTAGACTTCTTCAATGAAAAGTTTGCAAAACCGAGGAATTAGTGAGTATTTAGGCTGCTTTTGATGTTTGGGATATGTTGAATTAGTGACTAATTTGTTTCTACATTATATCCCAAATTTGTTCAACTTGTGGTCTTTGGACCCTCTCTTTTTAAGGAATCAACTTCTTTTTCTTATTCTTTTTTCCTGATGAATTTTTCAGTTCTTTTGATTGTGAATCAATTTATATCTTCATGTTGAATTTTTTTATCAATTATTATTTTCTCTATGTGCCTGCAAAATTTATTTATACTATATCTTTGGTGTGTTCATCTTTTATAATAGGTTGGTTGGTGCTGTGACAGTGCATTTAGGAAGTCTTTATGTTTGCAGTTTGCTGTTTTTTTTTAATGTGCTGGTGGATTTGATTGCAGGGACTAATCAGCATCGGGTCATGTGACGCTTAGAGAAATGGTTGCAGTGACTTTGACCGAGATCAATGGGGCTACGGCTTTTGAAGTTTCTGGTATGGTTCAAATGTGGGAACAAATAATTTGAATAAGGCACTCAGACCAGTGGCAAGTTTGATGTTTTGTTAGTTTTGCCTGAGAAATGGCAATTGTTTTGTGCAACAGAACCCCTTTAAGGAAAAAAAGGGAAAGAAAAAATGTTTCTTAATGCAAAATCTACTAAGCTCAAGGTGGAAATTAAATGGTCATGTTTTTCAATGTTTGTTTCCTATGTTATACCCAGTTGTTTATTTTGTCTGTGTTAATGTAAAATGTAAATTGTAAAATGTAAACTACCACCCACCTACCACCTCCACTACCACCCACTCCACCTACCACCTCCACTACCACCTATACCTACTACCATCTTCTCCTCTCTATATAGGAATTGTAATATACAGATACAAAAAAAATTAATAAATCAATTAATAATACATCAGTTTATTTTACATGGTATCTATATAGGAATTGTAATATACAGATACAAAAAAAATCAATAAATCAATTAATAATACATCAGTTTATTTTACAGTCTGGAATCCCAAACAGATCATCTTGGCAAAATCACTTCACTTTGATTGCTCAAGTATTGTCCTTGTACTGATGTTTCATTCTATTTGCAACTTTAGTCATTACCTAGTCAAAGGAGATCTATGGATCCTTGAGAACTTAGGTATTTAGAGATCTATAGATCATCTTAGAAATTCGAAGTCTATTCATTTCATTCACAAATGTCTATTATAGGGAGGGAGGGAGGGAGGGAGGTTATATATAAGAGTGAGAGATACTAGTTGCACAGTTGGAATGTAACTAACTCAATAACAAACTGTAAGTTACATCAGCTGGAACACTATATCCAGTGGCTGTAGCTTCAGCTCTATACTCACACTTCATTTACAGCTGCTGAGACTCTATTGGCTTGTGCTGTAAATGCTGCAGCACATCAGATGGCTGTTTCACTTGGTCATACTCACTATCAAATCATTTTGTTTTTTTTTTTTTTTGTTCTACTTTGACTAGCCTGGTATGGAATGGGCAATTTCCAATTTGACTTCTATTTCCTTTGTTGAGCATCAATATATTCTGTATCAAATGTGTTGTTCATGGTACAATGAAAGAAGTTTTTTATTTTATTTTAATTTTATTATTATTATTATTATTATTTTTGTGGTATGAGTCTGGACCTGGAAATACGCTTGAATTCAGCTTTTAGAATTAATATTTAATACTATTTGCTTAACTTATTGGACCTTAACTGATGATGATTCAATGGAAAAAAGAAGTCTTAAGTAACAAGGTTTTCATGCATGTAAGTAAGATTACAGGAACACATTTATTAAGGGGGAGAGAAGCAAGGGATTTGCAGAGATTAAGGGTGCAACCACTGGTTTGGCTTCCGGTACTATTTGGGGTATCATAGTTGCCACGATGTGCCTCTTGTTGCGAGAAGGGTTGCACTTGCAGAGTTGATGAGGACCCTCAAAATGATGGGTAACTATGGGATGATTTTTCTGCAATTGGTGGTGTTTACATAGGCATAGAGAAGCTGTTGCAGAATTATAGGATGAAGAGGGACTTCATCAATGGAGCCGTTGGTGGGGCTTGTGTTCTTGGTTACAAAGGCGAGGATTTCTATTTGATGCATTTGGATTGTTATTCTTTTCATCTTATGAATTTTATTTAATGATGAAACTGTTAGAACAATCTTCTATGTATATAAAATAACTAGAAATAAAATCAAACAAAATAAATAAATAACATACCGAATTTATTTTGTCGAATCAAATAAAAATTACAAGACCAAGTCGAGTGTGTGACACTCTGTCCTTAAGACAGATTCGCCCCGCTATGGTACTTACGGTTGAGTGGCGTCTATCTCCCAGGATACAATGATCTTCACAAATTGTAGTAGTACTCCAAACAACTTGTTCGGCGAACCAAACCTGTGTTCTAACTCTCTGAATATTTTTTTTTCCCTAAAATTATATATGAAGAATATATGTACTTAGAGCAAAGAGGACAGCAATATCAAAAAAAAAAAAAACTGACTGAATTTCTGGGGGCTCTAAACTGCTGGAAAATTATCTATATATATAGGCAAAAAATTAGACCCGAAAAGGTGCTTCCTTGAAGTGAACAGGTGCACAACTTATTTCAAACAATTTGTTTGACCGTTGGCACAAGAAACCCACTGTTCAAACAATTTGTAAAGTTGACCGATAGAGAACTGTTTCAAGTAACTTTTATTAATTAAACTATAGGAATATATATATACATATATATTAAATTAATGAATATATATATATATATATATATTAAACAAATTGAATAGTTTAATAAATAAAGTAAGAGGTACAAATTTTAA